CTCAGTCCTGCCCTGCCAGGAAGCATCAAAGCCGAGGTGTGAAAAAAAAAATAATACCGGCATCTGCTCCTCTCCGCAGACTGGGTGCAGCTGATCCGACACCTTGGCACGGGTACCTGTGGGGGTGGATTCTGATTTTCCATAACCTTGATCTGAACGGAAGGACACGTTTCCCCCCCGCCCCCCCTTCAGTGGAAGCCGGCACCGTGCTGACTGGTATGGAAAATGGTACAGGCACGGCCTCAGGATTTTCCTTTTGATGTTTTATAGGCGATTAACACGGTAACTCGGAGCTGTGAAAGCTGCGACAACTACCACCGGCATTCCGCCGGCATCCAGCACCTCGGGAGGGCAAGTGACACGGCCAGCTCATGCATCCTTGGGATCTCCTGCTGTGGTGGCACTACAAATTCCAGCCAGAAAAGGATGAGTGCATAGGCCGGCGAGATAAGAGCAGCAAAAGACTGACGCGCTATATCAGGAGAACCACACACAGGCAGACAGTTATAAGAGACGTGTCTGGAATGAGCACTTAGGCTCGTGTGACGTCTATGTCCAATAAATGGACGTGTTGGATTATTCTACTGTGCGCTGGCGATTCCTTTTCCTATATTGTGTCTGCACGGTGCCATCCGTGTCCATCACTACAAGCAGCATTGTCTTCGTAGGCCTTGATTGCTGCAAGGTGTGCGGAGGATTTCCCCTTCTATACAATCTGGAATGAGCACAACTTGTGCCATTCAGGTGACTCCCAGGCAGGGCCGGATTTACTCTCCCTGCTGCCCCAAGGCCAGATTCCGCAATGCGCCCCCCCCCCCCCCCCCCCCCAAAATCCAAGAAGCCGCCCCCCCCCCCTCCCTCCCCGCCAACGCTCCCCATCAATGAAGAATGGCAACCAGAAGGCAGGGCGGCAGTGTCAGTTTTAATTTTTTTTTTTATTGCTTCTTTACTTTTTTATCACTTTATTTATTTGTATTTATTTTTTTACTTTAAGATTTTTATTCATCTTATCGTTTACTTTTTTAATAATTTGTTTAATCTTATTATTTGTTTATTTTTTTATAATTATTTTCTTATTTTTTGATCATTTGTTTCTTATTATTTTTTACTTTTGAATCACCTTTTTTATTATTTATTCTTATTTTTTTTCCACCTGACTTTATTGCTATCACACAGGAGCTAGTTAACAAGCCCCCTGTGTGATAGCAATTGTCAACGACAGGTTCTCTTTATTGAACCTGTCACCTCCAATACAGGAGTTCTGGCACAGCTCTCCCCTCTCACTCTGTACACGAAGCGGCAGGGTTATTTCTAACCCTGCCGCTCTGCTCCCTACATAGGCGGCCAGTAAGAGGAGAGAGACTCGTCGACGGAGCCAGCGAGGAGAGAGGTAGGTGCAGGTGGGAAGGGGAGGACGGACCGGCTGCAGACGACTTTTTACAAGTGATCTCGGCGTCATCGCTGAGATCAATTATAAACGTACAATCGGCTTCCTCACACTACATTTAGTCCTGCTTGTGCAAAGCAGGACTAAATGTAGAAAGCGCAACTTACCGCCTGGCGCCCGGAACTTCACCACAAGGACACCGCTGCCGGGCCTCGGTGGCCTTGTGGGGAAACCGGCCCTGCTCCCAGGCCTAAGGGGTGATAATGGACAATTCTGAGGGTTGTGGTGTTACCGGCTGCTGAAGGATGGTTCCATGAAGGTGCCGCATTCACCTGCCGGCACGGTGGACTGAACTAATGCAGATATGTCCCTAATCGTCACCTTCTGTACACATGGATGAGTATGTTCCTTGTAAAATCTTACAATACTCTTACAAAGGAGGCTGGACATAGACAGTAGAGGGCAATGCAGACGTGATAAAACCACCCTTAGGACGTCCCAATATCCAAGCCATGCAGAATGCTCCATAAACTAGCAAAATCGGCTTTGATCAAGAAAAAAAATGCGATGTGCTGCAAGAGCAACCAATCAGAAATCAGTTTTTAGCAACTGTGAGTGGGCAGACTATGAAAAGATGGCTTATGATTGGTTGTTACAGGTTGCTGCACTGTGTAGCTATTTGCACTCTCTTACTTAAGAAGTAGTCAGCGTAAGTATGGTGACACAATGTGGCGTGTAATTATTTGCAGCAGAGGAAACCGAGAGACCCATGTCCATGCTGCCACATATATATGTAAGGCCCGGTGAGAAAGGGTTAAGGAGGGATTGCACTTTTTCTGCAAGACATTGTAAATATCGACCAATAAAATGACAAAATATAACTTTTTGTAACTGGATTTTTTTTTTTTTCTCTGCAACTGTCAAAACTCTCCTTCCTCCTCTGACAACCTGAGCGTGAACATCACCCACGAAACAATAATAATCTCATCAACTGCAATTTTCTTTTACTATCCCTGTAGACATCTCAATGCTGCAAACAGTCTCTCAGCATTCCGATCTTCTCACAGTTCACATTCGTATAACCTGAAAACTCCACCAACCGGCTCGGAAGGGGATTTTGAAAGATTAAAAAAAAAAAATCTGAAATATTTCATGCAAATTTACCTCCCCTCCGCTCTTCCCAAGACCTCCTTCTTTCCAGCTCCCTCGTCAACTCCTCCCATGCTCGCCTCCAAGACTTCACTAGAGTCTCTCCCATCCTCTGGAACTCTCTACCTCAACCTGTCCGTCTGTCTCCCACACTGAGTCCGCCTATCTCCCACTTAAGACTCATCTCTTCAGGGAAGCCGATCCCACCTCAACCTAACCCCTGAAATATAAATTTCTTAAAGAATTCATCCCCACACAGCTACCTCCTCATGTATCACTGGCCCCTCCCTTTTAGATTGTAAGCCCTTAGGGGCAGGGCCCTCCTCACCATCTTGTCTTGAATTGTAATGTCTTCCTTATATTGTAAAGCGCTGCGCAAACTGTTGGCGCTCTATAAATCCTGAATAATAATAATGTATATGAAATGGAAGAGCTACAGGCTAGTAGACAAGACACCTTAGATACCTTTAGATCAATGTGGGCCTGTTGGTCCTACTTCATCGGTACGCTTTCGCACACAGGAAGTGGCTACACGGACGGTATCGTCCCCCATTGTCAATTGAGTCTCCCCAAAATGGTGCTTCAACACTCTACACCGCCCGGCCCCTTCAAACCATGACCCTAACCCACCTCCTCCTCCCCGCGCTCTATCCCTATCCCACTCTCTCTCTCACGGACCACGTATGCCTATTACCCTTCTTTCTCCGAGTCACCTGAACACTCCGACAAATGGTATCAGAAAAGCAGCGGCCAACATGTCATATTCACTACGACGGGTCGGAGAACCGCGTTCACAAAATAAGCACGCCTCAGCTCCGGTGTACACGGTCACATATGCTTACCTTAAAGTGACATTAAACCCTCAGATTTTTTAACATAAAACAATACTGTAATGTGCGCCTTACTGTAATCCATGGTTGTTTCCCTTCTCTTTGCTGCTCTTCCTTTGGAATCTGTATCTGTTCTCATGCTTGGAGAAAACTTCCCTTTTCAGCTCAGGGCCTCTTCCTGTAGTGCTGGCTCAGATTACAAGCCTATACACAGACACCGTGTGAGACAAGGCAGTCTGCTGAAAACAGAAGTTCTCTCCAAGCATGAGAACAGATACAGATTTAAAAGGAAGAGCAGCAAAGAGAAGGGAAACAACCATGGATTACAGTAAGGCGCACATTACAGTATTGTTTTATGTTAAAAAATCTGAGGGTTTAATGTCACTTTAAGCATCTCAGGGAACATACAAGAAACGCAGGTGTCTGTCTTGCAACTGTGATAGTTTGGGGGAATATAGCACAATGGTGAGCGCTAAGTGACCACTCCTGCAGCCGACTTTAACATAAAAAAGGACTTTATTCATTCAAAGGGTGAACAGTCCATGAACTTCACAAAACCAACTTGCTTTTCTTCAGCATAAATAAACCATAACAGTTCATCGGACTCTCATCAACACATCATGTTTTGGGTCATCTGGCTGTCCCATACACTCCCACTGTGATAGTCCCAGGACTTGCCCTGGAAATACAGTTCTCAGCAGCTTTCCTCAGCTGAAGGCCTGTTAGTATTCACCCCTTGTCTCTCTCTGCCTCCCCGACAGGTATCTCAGGGTCACAGACCCTCTGGACCTCTCCAACCTTCCTAGCTGTGTCCCTTGTGCTCACGCACGCAGCAGAGTCTGCCTGTCGTCGTGTGCCTCTTGCACACCCACAACTTTCCTCTTGTGAACCTGACCGTTTTGTAGCGCGTTCCACGCTCGACGAACGCTCTACAAAACGCTCAAAAATATAAATCCCATCGTATTCAATGGTCTCGTTCCCACCTTGGCGTATTTCCGCCCGTCTCTAACGCGCTACAAAACGACCCACGCCTGAAAAGGTACAGGTACTACTTTGGGCCGTTTTGTTGCACGTTTCCATTGGGATACAGCCAAGAAGCCTTTGGAAACGCGCGACAAACGTGCATATGCAATACGCCTAGGTGTGAACGAGACCTAAAGCACTGGGCTGGCTTCCTAATAAGGCCGCTCTCAGCCACCTGATCAGCCCAAACTGGCCACTGGCAACACCTGGCCCCAGGACTGGAGATCCCATCCAACTATAGTCTGGAAAACCTGGAAGGAACTGAACAGTCAGTTCCTCCACTCCTAAGGTATTCACATTGTGGAACCTCTCAGGCTGAGAGTCCTGGGCGCCAAAGTTGCCATACTACACCGTGGCATTGCCACGCACTGCCACACAACTAAAACTGCCATAAACTACCAAAGCACCCCCTTTCCTAATCTTTTCTGTCTCCTCTTCGACCCTTCACTGATATGGTTGACGATTTGAATATCTTAATTGTCTCTGTATTTGATTGGAACCCGGATGAGGGTTAACTGTATCACTTTTGTATTCTTTATAAAATCTCAATAAAAATACTTTGAAACAACAACAAAAAAAGAACAAATGAAAACAGTACGATTGCTACTCACACATGACATTGAGAAACACGTTGTCCGATGCCAGGACCACTTTCTCCCTCGTGGCCCGGTCGTAGATCCCAACGTGGCATTCGTAGGGTCCGTTGTCTGAAATGCGCACCTCCGGCAGCCTGGCGGAACAAGGAGGAAAATGAAAAGCAGTTAATTACCTCATCCAAGCGGAGCGATCCTGTGTACACAGGACGGCCCCAGTCGAGATCCAATAACCATAAGAAGAAAAAAAAAAGAAAGGTTTTATTAGGAAGATAGTGGCCATTGTAATGGAGAAAGCGCTATGCGGGTTTTATGAACTGTGAAAATGATCGTTTCATCTCCCGGCGCGCGCCTGCGCGCATTCACACCGCAAACTTTCCTTTGAAGTGTAATGAGGTTTTAAGGCAAATAACAGAAAAATATCAGATTATTGCAAAATCTCAAGGAAATTTGAAACGGAGCGCGCTGATTTTATGCCCAGACAAGCACAGGCGGTCCTGGAATAACGAATCTACCAATTAAAAATAACCTTGACAAAAAAAGGAAACAGCTTAACATCGAACAAACATGTAATTACATTTGATTTCCACTTTCCTGACACTGCAAACAATAACTGTTTTGTTTCCATAATCATTTTAATTCGCAAAGTGTTACCTGCACGGCCCGTGTCGATGGGGGCTTCGCTCTTTACCCAGTGGGATGGTTGGGCTCATTCACAGAAACTCCATTCAAGATATTCTATATGGCCAAAAGTATGTGGACTCCCCTCCCAGTGATGGAGCTCAGGTGTCTCCAGTGAAGGTTCTGGGAATCCTCCATCATACAAAAACATTGTAGACAAGTGTGCTCTTCCAGCCATGTGGTCACAGTTTTGTGAAGACCCTTTTCTGTTCCACCATGACTGTCCCCTGTGTACAAAGCCAGCTCCATAAAGACATGGTGTGACCAGGTTGGTGTGTAGGAGCTTGAGTGTCCTGCACAGAGCCCTGACCTCAATCTTAAAGATCTCCTTTGAGATAAATTGTAACCCTTCCAAATGATGGAACCCAGGTGTCTCCAGTGAAGGTTCTGTTAATACTACATCATACAAAGACATTGTATACTATTGTGCTCTTCCAGCACTTGTGGTAACAGTTTGGTGAAGACCCTTTTCTGTTCCACCATGACTGCCCCCTGTGTACAAAGCCAGCTCCATAAAGACATGGTGGCACCCGTTTGGTGGAGAAACTCAAGTGTCCTGCACAGAGCCCTGACCTCAATCCTACTGAACACCTTTGGGAAGTGAAACTCTGAATGTGAGCCAGGTCTTCTCATCCAATCCATGGTGTGACCTACTGGTGTGGAGGAACTGGAGTGTCCTGCACAGACCCCCAACCTCAACCCTACTGAACACCTTTGAGATAATTGGGACCCTTCCAAATGATGGAGATCAGGTGTCTCCAGTGAAGGTTCTGGGAATCCTCCATCATACAACGACATTGTAAACAAGTGTGCTCTTCCAGCCTTGTGGTCACAGTTTGGTGAAGGCCCTTTTCCGTTCCACCATGACTGTCCCCTGGGTACAAAGACAGAGCCATAAATACATGGTGTGACCAGTTTGGTGGATGAACTCGAGTGTCCTGCACAGAGCCCTGACCTCAACCCAACTGAACACCTTTGGGAATGAAGAGAAACACAGATTATGAGCCAGGTCTTCTCAACCAACATCAGTACCTGACCTCACAGATGAACACAAATCCAACAGACAGCTTCGAAAATACTATGGGAAGTCTTTCCAGAAGAGTGGAGGTTGTTATAGACACAAAGAGGGACAACTCTATATTAATGGTCATAGGGCAGGGATGGGGGAATTGCAGGCAACTCTAGGAGGGGTGTTTTGTAGTCCTATTACATTCCCTGTTCAAGTATGATAACACTGCTCCTCTATAGATACAGTACAGTGAGTGAGTGTTGTCACCCTAGGGCAGGAAGTGTGTTACTGGCGGGGGTCACCAGGTGAAAACAAAGGTAAAATAAGCCTGAATAAAGAAAACGAAAGCAGCCACCGCATCTGAGGATCGGTAAGCTGCAATATGTGACATTTTTGTTCTTTCGATACGCTTTAAGTCTTACATTCAGGCTACTACGGTACATATACAGGAAATGATGGTCTGCCGGGGTCTCTTCTACAAATACCGCAATTCTCTAAACAGAAGAGCTTTCCCTTAACACTGGACCCCAAACAGGAAGTCTCGGCTCTCAATGTCTCTCCCGGGAGGCTCGGCATCAGATTGCATTCATTTGTATGGAATAAACTATCAGATGGCGGAGAGTTGTTAGGATTACGGGGCCCGTTGGCTAGATTGCTGCGCTGATATTCGGTATCGTCATCGTTCAGCCTGCGGAGGACATTATAGCTGCAGAACATAAAGCTATTTAAGATAATAGTCAAAAATCTCTTTATAGATATAAATGTGAGGCGAGGGAGGAAAAAGCATCATAATTAAAGCAGGCGCAGAGCTCTATCTATGCAAAGTCAAAGGCAATCCCTGCCGAGCTGCCGTATACACAGCCCACAGATCCTATATACTCCGTCATGACATTACTAATGTGATGCATAGAGCTCCTGTGATTGACCCTTTCTGGTGCGTTGCATGGGTGCAGAGCATGAGAAGGGTGACACTGCTGTACTGCATTTCTGGGTGCTACATGGGTGCAAAGCATGATGAGGGTGACAACGCTGTACTGCATTTCTGGGTGCTACAATGGTGCAAAGCATGATGAGGGTGACAACGCTGTATTGCATTCCTGGGTGCTACATGGGTGCAGAGAATGAGGAGGGTGACAATGCTGTACTGCATTCCTGTTTACCAAATGGGTTCAGAACATGAAGAGCATGAAAATGGGAAAGCACACAAACAGGACATGCAATGTTATGCTTTGCAAGTGTGAATGGGGGCTCAAGTGCAAAGGTGTGGAAGCAGTCTGACCCAAGCCCCCACCGGTGCTACCCAATCAAATTCCAACTTCTATAGCACACTGCGCAGGTTGAGGCCGAGGACACATGCAGCACCCCAAGGCATGCTGGGACTTGTATTACGTGTAACAGGCATGACGGGCGGTGGGCAGTGCGTTGCGGTCAGCGTCCCCCTCTGATCCGGGACACCGATCTCGAAGACCCCAGGACTAATACTTCACGACTATAAATAAGTAAACGGGACTGAGAGTTCATAGTGAAGGATTTGCTCCGGGTCTTGTTGGAAGTTTTCCTCTACACTGAGCTATATTCTTACGCGATATATTATTTAGACGTGTTTCTTAATAATTCACAACGCCATTTATACATCTGTCAAGCTGGAGGAACACAGAAGACTTGATTTACCACTCGACTCTCCTCGCCGTGCATTCCGCTTGACAACGGCGGTCGGCTTTATCGCTAATGACGCGTAAAGAACAACTCTTGTGTTAATTACAAAGCCGCGCGTTGGGACCGAGACGACGAGCTGATCGAAATCATTGAGCACATGGAGGGGGAAGAGCTGACACCCTACCATGACACCCTCACAAACTATGTAGAGACGGCCTCCGTGACATCGTGCTGATTGATAGCTCGAGCGTGGGCTTAGCTGTGATGGGCTGAGGAGCAGCGGCCGCGCAAAAGGAACAAAAAAAGCAGCGCCTGCATATGTAATAAAGTGACTATGGCGGCCCCCACATACATATATTATGAGAAGAAAAAAAATACACGGAGAGGCACAAGACTGTAAAACAATGGAAACAACTGTCATAAATAAATCACTTCATTGCCGTCTGACTGGTTCCTGAGCCGTACAACATGGTGCATGCCGTACTGCATAAGTGCAGCTCAATGGTTAGCACATCTGCCCTGCAGCACTAGGGGTCGTTGGATTGAACCCCAACCGGGGCACTATCTGCATTGAGTTTGCATGTTCTCCCTGTGCGGGTTAGCTTCAAGCAGGGGGGTCCCTAGCCTTTTCGCCGCTTGAGGTTGTGGTGGGAGAAGGGTGGGTGGTACATGCTATGGGGGGGGGGGGCAGTCTGGCCGGCACCATACACATCTCTCAGCTCTTCGGAACCTGGGATGCTCTGGCTGGCATCACCGCTCAGCTCCTGGCAACCTGAGCAGAACGCTGGTCAGAGCATCCCAGGTTCTGGAGAGCTGACCTGGGAGAGATATGTGTGACCCTTACACATCTCCCCACTTGGCTCTTAGCAACCTGGGATGCTCTGGTGGCAAGGGGGGTGGCAGGCACACTGCAAACATTGTGCATGCCGCTCTGCCTGCCACCCCGTCCACGTGCCCAAAAAGATGCCGCCTGAGGCAACAACCTCGGACTGCCACATTCTAGCACATCTGCCCTGCAGCACAGGGGGTTATTGGTTTGAACCCCAACTAGGGTGCTCTCTGCATGGAGTCTGCATGTTCTGCCTGTGCTTGTGTGGGTTAGCTCCGAGCAGGAGTGTCCCTAGCCTTTTCGCCACTTAAGGTTGTGGTTGGTGCATGCTAATTGGGGGGCAGTTTGGCATCATGCAAATTTCCTCGCTCAGCTCTTCGGAACCATGGACGCTTTGGCTGGCGTGCCCAAAGAGATGCTGCCTGAGGCAACAACCTCAGACTGCCGCATTCTAGGTACGACCCTGGCTCTGGGTGCTCTGGTTTCCTCCCACACTCCAATGAAATGCTGGAAGGCTAAGTGGCTCCTGGATACATCGGCCCTCGTATATATGCATGTGAGATAGGGCCCTTAGATTGTAAGCTCCTTCTCAGGGACTGATGTGAATGTACAATATATAAAGTGCTGTGTACAGGGACGCCACTCTATAAATACCTATGATTAAAAAAAATAAGACCCTAATGGCGCTGTTTGGTGTTATCTGTACACAGTATCGCTTTTGCCCATCAGGTTTGCGTCGCATACAGAAGCGGTGGCGGTTTCCGGCACCGCGAAGAGCACTCAGACATCTCCCCTTCCTCTTCTTTCGCCTGACACGGCCAAAGTTCCGGACTCGCCTGAGATGAAGTTGCGGTATCATGCCCCCCCCTTTTAAAGTGGATTAAGGACGCCGGGCCGTGCATTCACTTTGGCAGTGGAGGAGTATTGATCAGGACGCCGCCAGCCGTCACCAGTCAGGATTC